AAATGAAACGAAACTTTTATTACAGTATCTTTTATAAGTTTGTTCAGAGCAGGGACTATTTATATATCTTTGTACCCGCCCCCTGTCTAGACACTAGGTGTTCAAATATTTGTTGACATGACTGTAAATTTTCATCTCAGTGAAGTCACTTGATTTACTGGTATCTGGAAGCTAAGTCATAGCACATAGATAAGTTAATACAATGACGGTTTCAGCTAACAATGATCTAACTGAAAAACCAAAGAGACCTAATCTATGGTAGAAACCTTTCAGATTATTCTTTTATAGATCAGAAAGTGACTTAACATAGGGAAAAGTCAATTACCATCGGGAAAACTTAACCTCAGGAAAAACCAATTGTAAAATAACAAATATTTTAAATAGCTGGTGTGTATTTATGGATCATATTCAGACCGTCCCTCCTAACCACGGTAACAAATGGAATCTTAAGAATAAGCTCTGCTGAATAAACATCTTGAATATTGCTAACCTTTTCCAACATTATGGTTTAAAAAAAAAATTGCTGCCACCTATGGTTTTCGATAGCCAGTCACTCACATGAATATAGAAGGTTGAATTATGCAAGTATGTCATCCAAACTGACAGATGGGTTTGGCATTTTCCTTATAGGCCGTGCAACTCTTCCAGTCATGTGAGGGGCATTGGAGAATTTTTTACATGACATGACACGGACTTTGAAGTGTAAACACTGCCAATAAAGTTTTATGGGTTTTGTATGAGCCATGTGATTGCTTGGAAAGGCGGCACATTCTGTTGAATTGAAGACCTGGGGGACTGTTGGATTTCTACGAAAGCACACATAGAAGTTTGGCATCTACCACTGCCACAGCATGGACATAATGTTTTTCAAAGTTATGATAACAAACAATAAAAATGGCATCTGGCAGTGGTACATTCTCAGTATTGTTCATACAAAAAACACAAAATTTAGAGGTAGTTGCAGGTAATTTTTCACAATTTAATTAACTCAAAGAGACTATAATTGGCTATACTTCTACCAAGCTGTTCTTTAGGAAACAATGTCCCTATTTGGTTTGAGTCATCAAAGCAGAATAAAAATAAATAAAAAATAATTCACATTCTCAATTTTAAGTGTGTTCCTCTAAATGAAAATGCAATAGGATAAAACAGGAGAGTGATTTTCATATTAGTACCTCAATAAACACAAATAGAAATTTCCTAATACTGTTTTCTCAGTGCAAAGTGACTGCCGTTTTTCCTCATGACAAACTTACTATGCTGTCAAAAGCATACCAAGAATTAAAAAAAATATCGATGCAAAAATAAAATGCACAACCATATTTTAAGTGTTGTACCGAAACCTTTTTTTTTAACCATCAGAGGTAACCTATGTAAAAATATCCTTACTTTTAACAAGTTTTTGACAGTAGGATGTCCTGTGCACTTACAGACCAGTTTTAGAATAAGGACAACAGAAAAGTTTTGTAAAGAGAACCTAGAGAAGGAGACCCCGTGGTTCAAAATGAAAGGAAGAGGGAGGGACTTGGGGACAGTGTGCCACCGTGAAAGGTAATTCAGAATTCCTTTTAATCAGGCAGCCTAGAAAGGTGGGAAGACACTGTGTCCCCATATCTGGCTCAAATTGCTAGAAACTGATCACGAGTTCGAGCTAAGAAAGGTAAATAGAAGAAACTCTGAATCAGATGACAGTACCATTTCCTCAGCTATATTCTCAATGATTTGTCTTGATTTCAACATAAAATGGAGATAGCTAACCTTCCATTCAAAGTTGTTGAAAGGATTAAAGATAATGTATTTAGAAATAAATATGTATGTAACTGAAATATCTTAAGAAATATTTACCAGAATGTTAACAGTGGTTATTTCTGGCTAGCAGATTTACTTACGAGTATATATTTTGCTTTCTTTATGCTTACTTGTATTTTCTAATTTCCCTACAAGTAGTAACTTTCTTATATAAGTGATGCATGTAAGTCATTTAGTACAGTGCTAGTATACATACTGGCTCAAAAATGGTCATCATTAATACAAAAAATAAAGCGAGGTATCTTCCAACCTTTCTTCTTATTTCTGGATGCCTCTCCATGGGGGAAAAGTCATGCAATGAAGTTGACTCCACCACACAAAGTCCACAAAGGAACTTCCCACTCCTGAGCCAAAGGAAAGGTCACAGCTTAGAGCAGGGGTCAGCAAACTTTTGAGTCGGAAGAGCCAATCCTGTCCCTCACAACAATTTAAAAATTATTCGAGAGCCATAAATATACTTTTACAAATAAGGAAAATTTAAAGTAATATTATAAATGAAACTATGATAGTTTTATTTTTTTAATTTTACTTCAGAGCCACACGTATGTACCCAAAGAGCCGCATGTGGCTTGCGAGCCGCAGTTTGCCAACCCTGGCTTAGAGGAATGGGTCTCTATGTGCTGTGACTTAGTGTTGGCAAGAGCTGCGCACCCATGGGAAAGCTCAGCGAATGTGATGACTTAGCAAATCAAAATGAAATCTCTTCTGGTCGTACAATAAATTAATACATAAAACGCCACCTACCATCCTAGCTAATGTGAATTATGAGGTTGCCTTGAAGAACAAATACTCCCAACAGAATGCCCAGATCCAACAAAGCAATTAAGATTTGGATTTTTTCATGTTAACGATTATACAGGATATGAACCTAGTTCAAATTCACTGTGGTCCTGATGTCTACGTTTATTTTATTTTTGAAGTATCTTAACTAATAATTCACCATAGGCTTTAAGACTTGAAAATAAACACCTTGGAAAAACCACCACAAAGAGTTTTTAAACCAAAATTATTATTATTATAATTGCAGGATATTGCAGATAAATGCATTTATATTTACTTTAAAAGAAACTTTGCACATTTTCAAGAATGCTTTGAATTCAGCTAAATCTGGTAACAAAATGTTGTTACCTAAAATGAGTGTCAATATTCCTTTGATCTCAACTACAGTCAAGTAATCCCCTAGGGAAAAGATACTGATGTTTAATCCTTATAAATAAATAATTCAAGGGGGATCTGAGCTTTGAAGAGGATGAGTTTTTTTGTTATCTTAACTAGTGCTTCTAGATCTTTAGTCAGACTTTTCCATTCTCTACTTCCTCTTTATGCTTGATATACAATCTAATGCTTGGGAACATTTTCAAAGCTTCGGTAGTTTTAAATTTCTTGTAAATCTGATAACCAAATTTCATTTACACTGATTTCTTAGGGAACAAAAAAATTCTACCCAGGTTCAAGCATAAAAATAAAATCGAGCTATATCATGGTCTTATTTTTTTTTTTGCCACAATAATGGACTTTGCATATTATCTAAAAACTATGTATGTTCCAAAAAGAATGGCAGCTTTATTCCCTCCTTCCACTCCCTTTCCTCCAAAAAGAAAAAATGTTAGATAAACATCCAGATTTTCACGCATTGCAAAAAATGAGGCACAGGGGCTAAAGTCCCAATTAAGAAGGATAAAAGAGAAAGTATATAAATAATTTGATATTGAGCTTATATCAACACTTTCATATTCTGGGTCTGAATGAATACAATTTTGTATAAGCAGTAAAATTAGTGTTATCTTCTCCTGGTTCACAGAGAATTTTAAAAATTAAAAAAATAAAGCTATTTATTAAGTAGACTCAAAATGAGAGGTGGGGTGCGAAGGAACAGCCGGGGTTGAGGACACAAGCGTCTAGGATGACTCTCAGTCTCCCTTTTGAGTTTTTTAAAAAATGGAATTCCTTCTCTACTTTGTGTTGCCTGAGAACCACTATGGTTTTGTAAAATCTGTAACAGTAATTACATTTAATCACCCACAAGTACATTTGTTTTAAGCCTATAAATACTATGTTAGTAATACTAAACTATCTCCATTGGCTTATTTGTAAAAAGAAAAATATATTATATATTTATATTTTTATAAAGTTAACACTGAGGGCAGAGGAAAGGGAACGAGAAGCAGTGAATAAACACAGTTTCTCTGGACACAGTAACCACACCAGGGTCTTGCTCAAGCCACCTCATCAAGCAGTGTCTGAGGAAGAGTCGTAGGAAGCGGAGACAATGAAATTGCCACTGTTGGAGTGCCCAGCCACTGACTGGGCGGCCTGCTGGCTCAGATTATTACAGATCAGCACCAGCTGATTGCTCTGGGCCTCGGACAAGGTGCTACAGCTCTGATAAACACTGAAGTTGGTTTTCCTGCCAGGGATGTTGCCCTTCTCACACATGGTCTTCACCATCTTGGCCAGCTTGTTCTTGCCGAGGGCCTGGCAGTTGTACCAATGCAGAGCTGCCAAGTTCACAACTGGCTTGATGGACAAGTAGAAAGGGGCATCCTCGTAGCGCATGGCAGGAGGCCTCCGCTGGGCATACTCCTTATAGTCCTGGACAGGGCACGTCTGTGGGGCATGCTGGGTGGCATACACACGGGAGTCTGTCCCCCCTCTCTTGGTTTTAGCATTCAGGTCACCGGTGTCTTGACCCATCCACTCTAAGTACTCCAGCCCTGTTTCTGTTACCCGGAGCCGGATATCACCCCACTTCAAGGTAGATCCGTGGAAGCCTGTGCAGTGCCCAAAAGCTTTTGTGTTGTTAAGCCAGACAAGGTTGAGCAGACCCTCAGGGTTGTACCGGCTTAGCAGTCCCCTTTTCCGCAGAATGAGCTCATCAGCAAAGGTGAGCTTCATGGACTTGTGTGGCTTATTTCCTTTTCCTTTGCAGCGGAGTTCAATTTGCTTTTGTTTCAGGGCCTCTTGGGAACGCTTGAATTCCTTATCCCTGGTGATGCTGTAGCCATACCTGTGTTCTTTTAAGTACCGTTCTAGTCCACACTGGTAATTGGCCAAGCTGTTGGGTTCATATTCGGACCCATCCTTCTGCCTGGCATCCACAAAGAAAGAGGCAAGGTAGGCATCCAACTCCTTACAAGGGATGACATAAATCTCTCTTGTTTCAGAAGGATACTTGGAGATGAGGAACTCACGGAAATTGCGGAGCGCGGTCTGCGTGCTCCGGATGGTTTTCTCATTCTGCTCCCTGCTGAGCTCAGCTGCTCTTTCATCCTGGTCTGCAACAAATTGGGGAGGGGAGGGATAGAGAGGGTGTTGATGAGTTCAGACAATGCACTTTCTACTCTGAAATAAAGTTTCCTTTCATAATGAAAAGGGAAAGAAGAAATCAATTTTATAGAGAGCACTAATAAATGTTATTTACATACCTGTTGCATTATAATAGCAAACTTCAGTTTCACAAATGATGTACTAGACAAGAGTATGGCCCATTGCAATCAAAATGAGCTTCTCGAGTCATTGGCACATAGTTTAGTGCATGAGGTTTGTGGAAAGAGAGATTAGAAGCAGCCTTCGTTTTAGGAAAAATGTGAGACAGAAACATGCTATTTATCCTACTGCAGTGTGCAAGGGCCCATTAGAGCTGATACATTCACTTTGAATCACTTCATTTGTGAAACCAGAGGCTGTACTGGTTCCATTTTATTGAATTAAAGTAAAATATTCGAACTTGTTATTTAGCACATCACTAGAGATCTATATATTAAAAATTACTAAAACATATCATTTACAGTAGTTAATTCAACACTTATTCTGCAACAATTCAGGTAAGCACAGTTTATAAATATTCTGTATGCAACTGCAGGGCAATTTGTAATAAGTGATAAAAATATTTGGCATTTTGGAAAGTAATGAGGATAAAACTTCACAGCTATAAAGACAAGATAATGGAATTTGAATTAGGCTATTATAATTAAGATGTAAGGAAGGGAGTGTGTCTCCTGGAAAGATCATTTGATTTTATTAATGTATTATTTATACTCTGCCACCAAGGACTGAAGGTAGCGCTTTCCATTATGGACCATCCATGATTAAGTAACGTTGCTCTGGAGTAGGGGTTCTCACACTTGAGTGTGATTCAGAGTCACTCAGGATGAATGACTGAAAACGAATTCCTTGGTGGCAGGCCTAGGAATCTGCATTTTTACTAGCACCTCCATGGTCACGATGAGGTTTGAAAGAACACGCTTTGAGAAACATAGTGCTTATGTGTTATGAAGAAACCCTACTCTATTTTACTCAATTATTTTTACAATGATTAAATTCAATGATCATTTAAATCATTTAAATGGTTTCCTTTCCATAATATGTAATTTATATTTGGAATTTTAACATTAACATTTTGTCAAAATCATCACTATTATGTCAGACAAGGTCTGGATGAAACTCAAAAGAGAAATCCTAAAAATAAAATTACACAATAGAAAACCAGGCTATCCTATTGATTGTTGAGAGGCAAACATTGAGGTTAATTTAAAACAATATAAAAATGTAATTTCTGATTCTAAGGTATAAGGTAAAATATTTTGTTTATCCTGATTATCTTATTTAGGAAAACTTTAATTTGCAAGGTTGCTCAGTGGAAGTATTTGTAATAACCACATACAACAACAAAAATAAAATTTCTAATAAACTCAATTTTATTCACAAAACACACTACTTTTTGTATTACTGTACACACTTATGAATGACCATGTTATTTTAAAATGAAAATTCTAAGGTGTAACTGCCAAAATCCTCATAATTTTATAAAATGAAAACAACTAAAATTCACTAGCAAATTAGGTATGTTATAGGTTCATTTTTGAGATCATATTTCTAAAATTCAAATATACTAAAGTATACTTTATGCTTCATTAGACTTAACTTTTAGTTATGCTATTTTCTCCCAGTTCAAACTGTTTATATATCAACAATAAAGATGTGTATAAAGATGTGTATCTTACCATCAAAAAGATGGAAGCCACAGGTTACACGTAACCTTTATCATGCTGGCTTCGTTGAATGTTTATATGTAAAGCCAAAGGGGCCAGCACATCCGTTTACTTTGGCTACTTGTTCAAATATCTATCACAGCGGTCTTCAAACTTCAAAGACTTTCTAAGAAACAAACATTCATAGACAACTTCAGGGAAAAAAAAGTCCAGTTCCTCAACTTTCACATGGAATCTTTTCTAAAACTTATTTGTCTGAAGCAAATGAAGACTGAGTGTGCACATGTTGCCATCCCAAATCTACCACGGTACATTCTCTGGGGTGGAAAACACTAAGGAGCCAAGCAAAACTTACAAATTGATGAAGTCCATGTTTCTTGTCCATCTCTGCCTTATACATATTCTAATATAGGTGACATCTGCCATGAGAAATAGGGTAACTGTGCCTGAACTGGGGTGTCTTGAGTTCAGGACTTCTGAAAGGGTTCGCAAGGTCGATTCTTTTAACTGCAATTAGAATATTCTGCAGGACTACCCAAATGTTAAAATGTTATTCAACTCTTTCAGATTCAGTGTGCTTGTATTTACAAGATACTTAACAACTATTATCAAATCATATGAAATACTGATTCTAGTTACCGTGAATCCTCATCTTCATTTTATATAATTCAATATTTTCTACCTCCTTTTTACAAAAATAAATGAATTGAAACGTTGAAAACCTTTGGGTATCAATTTAAAAATGAGTGCATAGTATACAACTTTTCAAAGTTCTTTTAAGGGGTAAGTGTTGGAATTAATTAAGCTGCATTAGTAAGTATACTATAAAGTAGAAAGTATGAGTGACACAGTTCTTTGAATGAATGGTCACTTATTTCTTGTATCATCCACAAGAGCCATAATATTTATTACTTCAATTTACACTAAGCTTCTCAAAAGGAGAAGCCATCCCATAAAACCTAATACAGGTCTTCTCCCTCTTCCAAAGTTTGCATTATGCCACTTTACTCTTAAGAAAGACCTACGTTAGTACTACCTGTTTTCACCAACCGAAAGACATTCAAAGAGGATTTTCACGTTTACAAAAAAAAGGCAAAAAGTAAAAATAGCATTCCGTGTTTGTTGTGTAGCAAGCCGTAACAGAAGCAGCCTGAACGCCCAGCAGCGAGTGGTGCTGCCCCGCCTAGCTCCTTCCCCGGGAACTACTCTCAGCATCTCAGCATCAAGCTGCCATCCATAGCTTTGAACTGTGTCTGAGCATCTGTGCTTTATCTCCATTTATTTTGTGCACCCATTAGCAAAATGTAACCGAAGGTTACAGAAAAGCCTAAGAGAGCTTGTAAGGGCATTATGATTCAGCGTAAAACTGGACATAATTAAGCATTTCAATTGTGGTGAACAAAATAAAGACATATTAAGTAAATGGTAATTGTTCTGTACGCCATTTCGGCTTACGAAAGGTTTCATAGGAACACTCTACTTTCTGACAGCAGGGGAAACATGTATAATGAAATGAGCCTTCAACAAATATAGCCAAAAAACAGAAAGGTTTTAGGTTACTAATTTCCGGAGATCTGCCACCTGAAGAGGGAAGCGCCTCAGCACTGGCTCAGGTACTCTTCCCAAGACCCTGAGTCAAGTTTTTACACAGACAGCTTTTCTGTACTTATTTACATAGTCTTCATGGCCCATTAATCCAATTATTTCCTCCACTGTTAGGAGATGGCATGGAAAAACACATAATTAGTGCAGTATCTTGTGTTCTCACTTAATTTGAGATTTATGTTAGATTTAAATTCAGATCCATTTACTTCTATCGCGCTAGCACTCAATTTAACAAAAAATATACTTAGCTATCACATTCTTTTATGATTTTATTAAAGCAATACATCTGAAGCAATAAGAAACATTTCTTGACGTTTAACTTATTATTTTCATTTAAGAAGGGTATTTTGTCTTTTTCACTTGATAGAGAAATGATGTTCAAATTCTCTTTATAAATCAGTAAATGATAAATCCATGAGCTTATTAAATAAAAATGTATTTTAAATTTGAAAAGTAAAAAAAAGAAATAAAAAGAAATCTGGTGAGTAGATTTATATTTATGAGGCTGCAGTTGGAATTAATATTTAATCCACATTTGTGAGTACCCACTATGCCCTCTAGCATTTCAAGCAGGCCTGTGGGGTGTAGTCAAAGGCAAGTCCCTGATGGTTATGTAGATTCCATCATAGCTGGAAAAGATGACTATTACACAGAAAACTAATTAAAGAGACCATACACAGCTGTGTAATTAGGAATTGCGTTTGTGGCTCAAGGTCCGATAGGAATTCAGAAAGAAGAGAGAGAGATGTCAAATAGAGCTTGTGCTGCGTTGGAGCTTTATTCCTTGGGGGACTAGGGACTTGGGTTAGGTATTAAAGGATGGGTACCGTGTGGTTAATCAGAATAGGAGGGTAGGGCATTCCAGGGAAATAACTGCATGAGCAAAGGGCAAGAGATGGGAAGGACTGGGGCTTGTGCTCATGAGGACTGTCAAGCACTGATCCTGGTTTGGGGGTGGAAGTAGGGAATAAAGCTAGAACAGTTGGATGACCACCTGGAGGGTCTTACATAATTATAAATATATACAAAAAAAGAGAGGAGACTGAATATTCTAAGTGCAAAGAACCTCTAAATACCAAACATTTCAAGAAGCTGCTTTTGAAAAAAAAAATTCAACACCCCAATTCTCCACCTCTGACACTTTTTATTCCCCTTATGCTGTTATTTCCTTCATGCACCTATCATCCTCTGACAACGTGTTATGTATTTACTGGAGAACTTGCTTATTAGCATCTGTCTCTCCACAGTAAGAGCCAGGATTTCACTGCTTTAGTCCCAGGGTCTGGAGAAGCACTTGAGAATGTAGCATTCGTTAAACACTGTTGACTGAATTAACACAAAAGCTGAAAGGAAAGTTACTGAGATAACTCTGTGTGTGTAATCACACAATCCACTTTAGACCAACAATACTGACTGCATTTAGAAAGGGCTAAAACAAAAGTCAGTGGCATAAAATTAAATTTTGGGACTCCAATCAGAATCGTACAGACACCTTCTCCTGTGTTAGGGCCCTTCAGAGGGTCAGCTGTGGACAGTGTAGATGATGTGGACACCTGCAACAATGGTATGAAATGGCTTATGAGGCCACTGGAAGCTTTTCCCAGAGCTAATTCCTTAGGAAATAAGGACCTATCAGCTGTCACACAAATTGCTACAAGACAACATCTTTATCTTACTCT